CGCCACCGCCGCCGCCGCCGAGCAAGCGCCACCAAACCGCGGCTGCCTCCTCCGGGAGGTTTTATCTCCTCCTCCCCGCGCCGGCCCCGGTGAAGGTCGGTCAGGACCGGGGAACTGTCCAGCGCCCGGCGATTGGCGGCGCCCGGGGCTCCCCCCGCTCCCCATTGGCTGCGCGGAGAGGACGGGGCCCCGCCGCGACGATTGTTTGCGTCAGCTGGAGGCAAAGTTCCAAGAAACTTGCCTGGGCCGCTTTTTTTGGGTGCCGCAGAGGAGGAAGGAGGAAAGCCTAGAAAGAAAGGGAGGGCCGCCCGGTTTCGTTTCCCGGCCGGGCAACCCCCGGTTTCTTTTTCCTCCCTCCTCTCTCTGGCTCGCTCTCCGACGCTCTCTTCCGCCGCTTGGGACTGGAGTAAGCAAGTTGCATGGTTCGTACTCACACACACACACACCCCTTCGGCCCCGTACCCTTTGCAAGCAGCCACCTTTGCTTTGTACAAAAAACCCCGCATGGCGAGTTAGTTCCCAGGGCGAATGCTCTGACCCTTCTAGGCAGGCTTATTTTTGGTCCAATTCGAGAGGGGGGGGGGAGTGCCCTCAAGTCACAGCTTCTTTATGGCGACCCCACAGCGTTTTCAAAGTACAGGTGGTTTGCCATTGCCTCCCTCAGCACCATCCAAATACTAATCCTTAAGACCAACAAAGATTAATTTGGGGGTATAAACGTTCGTGTGCATCTGATGAAGGGTGCCTGCACATGAAAGCTTATACCTTGACTAGAACTTTATTGGTTTTAAAGGTGCCCGTGGACTCAAACTTTGTTCTGTTGCTTCAGACCAACATGGCTAAACGCCTGAATGCTAAGCTCACCTAATTCCAGAGGGGGTAGTCTGTAGTAGCAGAATAAACAAGAATTCCAGTGGATCCTTAAAAACCAATAGAATTTATTCCAGTGTCGGCTTTTCTGGAGCTGTCTCTCACTTCTTCAGATGCATGTAGTGTAGATGTCCATAAATGCACCCTAAAAACAAACACAATATATTAAATAACAGCTCAGTTCATCACATGCATGGCATGAATGCCTGTAACCACTACAGGCATACACTTAATGCGTCAGATGAAAGGAGCTCTGACTCAAAAGCTTGTTGGAATAAATGCTACTAGTCTCCAGACTTCCACTGCAGAACCGTTTGTTGTGGTTGGATGTTGTTTTGCTTCTTGTGGTTGGATGTTTTGCTATGGATGTACACCGTATGCACAGGGCCGTAGGCAATGGTAGGACAGTGGGGACAGCGCTAAACCTCACTGCCTGGGGCTGCCACCACACCAGCCATTCTATCCTTCATTCCACTGGGGGAGGGAGCCTAGGGTGTGTGGTGCTACCACACACCCTTCCTCCCTCCTCCTCAACTAGAGAAGTACTAGTCCTTCTGGGGCCAGGCCTCCATTGACCCAGCCCGTGCAACTCACTGAGCTCGCCCAGTATGCATCTGATGAAGTGAAAAGCTTCATCACAAAAGCTTATGAACACATATGAAGCTGCCTTATACTGAATCAGACCTTCGGTCTGTCAAGGTCAGTATTGTCTACTCAGACTGGCAGTGGCTTCCCATGGTCTCAGGCAGGGGTCATTCACATCACTCACTGCCTGGTGCTTTTAACTGGAGATGCCAGGGATTGAACCTGGAACCTTCTGCATGCCAAGCAGATGTTCTACCACTGAGCCATATCCCCTCCCCTTCCTTGTTGGAATAAATTTTGTTATTAGACTCTGAACTGCCACTGGAGTTCTGTTTGTTGTGCTGGGATATTGCATTATCATTCTGCTATTAGCAAACATCCACAATTGGTTTTTCCTGCATCCACACATTGTTGGATATTGTGCTATAACAATCTAATGGGTTTTCCTGTGTAAATATGGCAGTCCAGTCGCGCATGATTGCTATAGCACACAACAGTAGCAGAATAGCCAACTGTGTGGATGCAGCCCCAGTGACAGTCCAGGTTCTCTGGACCTGCCCCTGATAAATCACTGCTTCAGTTTTGTTTCTGTTTTGCCTTTGGGAACAATTAAGTCTAATTGCCTGTCCAGATAATAAATGTGCCTGAATGTGATTGAGTGAGAAGTAATCTATAACAACTAGCTCCACTGTGAGATTTATTTAATTCATTTATACCCCACCTTTCTGCCCCATGGGGACCAAAAGTGGCATATAATGTTTTCCCCTCCTCCGTCTGATCCAACCTGGTGTGGTGGGTTAGAGACTGAGAGTGTGCATTTGCCGCAAATTCACCCAGCAAGTTTTCATGGCAGAGCAGGTAACCTAGAGCAACCAGATCCACTGTGAGATTAAACATTCCGAAAGACGTAAAACAGAATTTTGGATGATTTTACCAATGCACCTGACTCTGGCTGTCACAGAGTATATTAATGCAGCATCCTGCCATGTGCACTCTACTTTGCTGAGCACTGAGAATTTCCAGGCAGCACTAATTTAAGTTGATTCCCTTTGGGGGAAAGAGCACTTGGGAGGCCTATGGTATTTTTATAGTATTTGCTTTCTTTTCAAATCCACAGGTAGAACCCAAGCAGGGGAACCGAGAAGTCCCTGCAAAGAACAGATAAGCTCACTAAGAAGAATAGGAAATCGGCCCTATTTCCTTTCCTGAAGTGCCAGAGAGTTTGTGCTGTGTACTTGTTTATTGCTGGTGGGTTTTATGGTTTTTATAGCCCCCTCCCCCCCATATTTCACTTGCAGATCCAAACTGCTCTTGCATCTGGGGTTGCTGCAGGAGGAGAGACATGAGAAAGTCATGCTGCTTGGTCAAAAATCCTTGCACCTGCAGAAATGCTGGTCTGGATCCAAGCTGTTGTTCCTTACCAGCATCCATTGGGGTGGGGGGGGCTTAGATTCAGATAAAATGTCAAGGCTTAGTGCAGCTTTAAAATTGTGGGAAGGTGGCCATGCGGGTATGCATGAAGCTACCTTGTACTGAATGTGCCCATCATTTTGTCTAGGTCAGTATTGTTTACTGAGACTGACAGAGGCTGTCTGGGGTCTCAGGCAGAGGTCTTTCACATCATATACTACTTGGTCCTTTAAACTGGAGATGCTGGGGATTGAACCTGGCACTTTCTGTATGCTGAGCAGAAGCTCTGCCATGGAGCCACAGCTCCTCCCCTAAGTACTTTCAAGAAAAGGGACCTTCTTGGACATGAGCACAATTTGTCAAGGCTGTATCCACATAGAGTTGGATGTGGTTCCGGTACAGAAATCATTTGCAACTGGACTGGCATGCCCACACAGGAAATTCCAGTGTGTAATGATTGTTCTAGTGTAACAATAAGTCAACTTCCCACAATGTGTGGGTGCATCCCATGTTTACACCATGGCCCAATTCTGTCCAATCCCTGTGCCCTGCTGAGTGTTCTTGTACGCTGTTGTTTTTGTGAGCATGCTTTTGTTGCATTAACAAAGGACATTTTGAAGAGGATCCCGGTTTCCTGTCTCCCCCTAGCAACAGTGTTGTGTGAAGAGGCCCCACCGAATGCTTGCGTTCAATTGTGTTTAGGTCTCTTCTGAACGACAACTCCATGATTTCATAATTAGAGCAATGAGTGACAGGAACAAGTGGCCAGCTCTTCTTTTCCTTACAGCCTACTCTTCAAGCTGCCAGTCACCTGTATGGAGACTGACATCCAAGGCCTCAAATTGGTTTTTGGAAGGCAGCAGAATTTGAAGAATAAAGGGTGAACTTTTTCCTCAGGTCTTCTGCGCGCAACTGTTACTGACAGTGACGATATTACTGTTGATACACCATTACTGTTACCTCCTGTCAGAAAAATCTCACAATTTCCTCTCTGAGGTGGGACGTTTTCCCGGCCAAAGGTGCTGTCATCAGAATGAAGTGAAGGTGAACTATGACTGCTGCAGTTATATCACATCCCTGACCTCTGTTGTAGGCACACCTCTGAGCTGAGATTTTGAGTATTCTTAGCAAGCTCCACAAGTGACAGTCAGAACGCAGTCTCTCACAAAATGGCTGTAAGCCAACCATTCACTCAGCCTCCTTCCCCCGCATCTTATCATACGATAAATAAATGTCTGAGTATCATATCCTGACACTAAATGGCTTCTGTCTGTCAGGCGGAGTT